GCGGCCCCAGCCATGTGGCTGGGCGGACCCGGGGCTCCGCGGAGCTGAGGCGGTGGCGACCGCCTGCCAGCTCCCTGGGGCCGCCCCCGCACCCTACTCGCCGGCGTCTGGCTCTCATGATGATGAAGAAAAAGAAGTTTAAGTTTAAAGTGGACTTCGAGCTCGAGGAGCTCTCTTCGGTGCCCTTCGTCAATGGGGTCCTTTTCTGCAAGATGCGGCTGCTGGACGGCGGCAGTTTCACCGCGGAGTCATCCAGGTAACGCGCCCTTCGCGCCCGCTTCTCTGGAGCCGCCTGTGCCTTAGCCTGCCCGGAGGGGCTTGTTTGATGGCAACAGCTCTTTCCTTGGCCCATTTGTTTCGAGAGGGCGGCCAGTGTTGAGCTTTGCTTTCTGCAGCGGCAGTCTGAAATTAGCCAGGAATTTATTGATCTCTACAAAGTGCTTCGCAAATGGGTCCAACTAGTCTGGGCTTGGCGCCTGCGCTTCTGATTCCAGATGGTTCCTGGTATTTGCTCTTTCCTCCTAAATTATCTAGGAATGACAGCGATGGCCAGAAGGCAGAGGATGCTTCTGGTTTCTCTTAAGTCGTTTCCGTATTTATTAGTGAAATGCAAAGTGGAACTTGAGCTGTTGTTAAGTCAAAAACAAAAATAACCCCCAAACCGCTCGAGTACCAGGAGCACCCACTCCAAACCTGTGCTTAGCATAACTCCTTCACCCTTGTAGGTTTTTCAGGGCCTCCAGTGCTCAGGATGAGGCTAGGGTAGCCCTGGTCAGTCTCCATTTGGGGGGTGTTCCTTGGCAGAAGGGGCAGCAGTCTGTGTCTTATCTTCTAGCTGCGTCTCCAGTTCTGCTGTTCACTTATTGAATTGCACATACTCAAGTGGCCATTAGTGGCTGTCATTGTGGAGGACCTCACCAGAAACGGAGCCCAGCCCCTGCCTTTTTTTTTTTTTTTTTTGACATGAGCGCCCATGGCTAGTAGGCACTCCGAGGGAGAGTCCCAGGTTACAGAATGAATGATGAAGGTGTGGCAGTGTTTCTTGAGTAGTTTCAGAGCTACTTATGGGTTGACAGATTTACCTTTAGGTAAGTGTTCTTAAGAAAATAGAAAACTTTTAAGGAATTTTGGAAAATGGACCTTTGAGTTCCTGAGATCAGGGAGAATTAAATAGTTACTGTTTATTGTGCCTAAATTTACTGGTCATAGACTTTATTTTTCATCCTAAAAATATTATGATTTCCCTTTTGTCTGTTATCCCTATTAATAAAATAAAGGGAATAATATGTCAGTAGGTTGCAAAATTGGAGCCAGAAATTGGCTGCTATGGCAAAGTGAAGCCTGTGGAGGCCAGAAAATGCAAATGTCTTGTTGGCCAAATCAAAAGATGTACGAACACTATTGATTCTCAAAATTTTAAAATGGTCCACCAAGGATAGTTTTCTAAAATTAAACTGTGATGATAAAGACATGTATATTCAGCTTATTAATTACCTGTTTTTGATTTTAGCACAGACTGTGATCTAGAATGGTGAAACAAATATTGCACAGCTTTTAAAATGATGAAAAGCCAATTTGTGGATGTCTTGTAGGTGTGATACCTAGACTTGCAGCAGGATCCTAGCCCCCATTTCCAAAAGTTAGATCTGGTTTCTGGGCCAATGGAGACCTGGTGGTCAGGGCACTGTCCTACTAACTCCTTTACCTCTACCTCAGAATATTGGTTTGGGTTGTGTTTCACAAGGCATTTATTCCGTCACAAGCAATCATTTCTCCAGCAAACATACAAAGACTATATCTTCTAAATATACTATCTTATTTAATTGCCACAGCAAGCCTATAAGGTAGGAGTCCCCATTTGATGATGAGTAAACAGAGGCTCAGAGAGCACGACTAAACTTTCCCAAGGTCCCCACATCTGGTAAGTGCAATGCTGAGATTCTAATACTGGTTTTTCTAACTTCAAACAGAGTGATGCCAGATAGAGGATAAAATTGTGTGCAGGGCTAAAGAGTTTACAAACGGGTAGCAGCTTCCTAATGGTTTTAGCAAGTGAGGGACATAATTTGATTTGTACTTTGGAATAACTGCGAGGAAAAAGCAGACTATCCTAGGTTAAACTTAACACTCTTCTCTTCCATCTAAAATCTGACTTTAATCAAAGTGTATAAACCAACAAACAAAAATCCGTATAGTTTGTAGGGAAATGATCTTTATAAGGAGCCCGTGCCTTTGAAGCTAGGAGGTAGGTTGGTAAAACAAAGGTTTGGAATTAGGTGGGTGTGAGTTTGAATCTCAGTTCTACCATGGTAATCCTGAGTTACTTAACCTCTCAAAGATTCCATTTGTAAAATAGAGGTAGTCACACACATGGGGGTTACTGTGAGGATTTAGTAAGATAACGTACCTAAAATACCTCGCACAGTGCTTTGGCGCTCAGTTGACATTTAAAAAGGAGACAGCTTGTCCAGGAAGGTCCATTTCCTTTAGATTTTATATTAATTTTGGTTTCACCATCAAAACCAATAGAAGCAGCAGTCAAGAAACCAGACAGTGCATTGCACTTGGGTAAATCTGCTGCAAAAGACCTCTTTAAAGTGCTGAAGAGTGAAGATGTCTCTTTGAAGACTAAGGTGCACTTAAACCGAGCCATGGTTATTTTCATAGTAATCTCATATGCATATGAAAGCTGGGCAATGAATAAGGAAGACCAAAGAAGAGTTGATGCTTTTGAGTTGTAGTGTTGGCTAAGGATACTAAAAGTACCATGGACTGCTAGAGGAGCTAACAGATCTCTCCTGGAAGAAGTGTAGCCAGAATGCTCCTTGGAAGTGAGAATGGCCGGTCTTCATTTCACCGACTTTGGTCATGTTGTCAGAAGGGACCATTCCCTGGAGAAGGATATCATGCTTTGTAAAGTGGAGGGTTGACGAAAGAGGGTAAGGCCCTCAATGAGATGGATTGACAGTGACTGCAATGATGGGCTCAGGTATGGCATGGATTGTGAGGCTGCCATAGGACCAGGCAATGTTTTGTTCTGTTGTACATAGGGTCTCTGTGAGTCAGAGCCAACTCAATGGCACCTAACAGCAACAAAAGCAACTACTACAAACGTGTTGATTTGAGAATAATGCCTTATATTTCTCCTTGTTGCTTTTGTTGGGTCCTGTTGAATTGGTTCCAACTCACAGCAACCCCATGAGACAGTGTAGAATTACCCCATAGGGTTTTCTTGGCTGTGATCTTTACAGAAGCAGGTCACCAGGTCTTTCTCCCACAGAGCCACTGCGTGATTTCAAATTGCCAGCCTTTCTGTTAACAGACAACTACATAACCATTGTGCTACCAAGACTCCTTATTTTTCTCCTTAAGACTAACATATTTTACAAGGAAACAAACCAACAAACATGAAGTACCTAAAGATTAATTGTTTTGAAATTACGTATCTCTAATTAGTGGGTGCCAATGCATCTCTAGTTAAATGCTAGATTCTAATTTTAAAAGATCACTTCATATGCCCCTTATAAATTGTTACTTTCCTCCCATAAACATGTGAAATGAACTATGCAGGAAAGAGTTAAGATAGCAGGCCCAAAACTTCTGTACTTTCTGGACTGATTACAAGGTTGCTTATTCACCAGCACCTGAGAACTTAAATGGTAAACAGTTTCCTACATTAATATAATGATATATTAATAATAATATAATAATAACGGACTTTCCTTAAATGATTTAGAGTGTCTCACCAGGTTTAGACTGTTTGAACGGTATAGTTTATACTTGCTTTCCTTCTGGGAGTATGGAAAATTGATCCATGCTAGGTAGAAGGTACCTACATGAGCAGCCTGCAATAAATACCTTGAGCACTGAGTCTCTAATGCACTTCCTTGGTAAACAGCACTTCACACATGTTGCTGTTTGCTGCTGGAAAAATTCCAGGTGTCTTGTGACATTTCTGAGAAAGGACCATTGGAAGCTTGTGCCTGGTTTCCTTGCTCTTTGCTTCATGCACCTTTTTTTCTTCGCAATCCATGCTATACCTGAGCCCATCATTGCAGCCACTGTGTCAGTCCATCTCGTTGAGGGTCTTCTCCTTTTTTCCTGACCCTCCATTTACCAAGCATGATATCCTTCTCCAGGGAATGGCCCCTTCTGACAGCACAACCAAAGTAGGCGAGATGAAGTCTGGCCATTCTCACTTCCAAGGAGCATTCTGGCTGCACTTCTTCCAGGACAGATCTGATTATGCTTAGTATCCTTTTGCTGTAATAAATCTTAACCGTGAATACTACTGTATGCTGAGTTCTGTGAGTCCTCCTAGTGAGTCACTGAACCCAAGAGTGATCTTAGGGACCCCCAGTGTGTAAACCTAGGTAAAATAATACTCATTTTCTTAGAAAAAAGCATTAGGGGTACATGTTGTTGTTGTTTTGTTAAGTGCCGTCGAGTCGTTTCCGACTCATAGTGACCCCATGCACAGCAGAATGAAACACTGCCCAAATCCGGCACCAGCTCCACAATCCCTGCTATACTTGAGCCCATCATTGCAGCCACCGTATCAATCCATCTCTTTGAAGGCCTCCCCCTCTTTCGTCGACCCTTCACCCTACCAAGCATGACATCCTTCTCCAGGGAATGGTCCCT